CCCCAATAAAAAGATAAATACATAAAAAAAATTCTTGTTTAAAATAGTTCTAGTTCAATCTTTTTTGCTTACTCAAAATATAAGGACAATGATTCATGATTTTTTTATAAATAGACTGAGATATCTTTCTAGTTTGCTGGTTACTGACATAAGCTTGTTCGGCTAAGCTTAAAAAGTAAGTCAAACTTACTTTTAAGTAACTTCATCTTTCTGAACATGCTTGGATGTATTACTTTTTCTTAAGTAAAACAGTAAACCTTTTTGACCGTAAGGCATGAGTTCCTAGTTACCTTGTCTAGTTTCATTCTTACTGTTTCTGTCCGCAGATGCAGCAGACCTTTCCGATGAATTGATTCCACTTGGTGAAAAGAGCAGTGTCGATGGATGGCATATCATTCAGTTTTCTGGTGGACCAAAGGCACCGACCAAGTTCACTCTCACTCTTTTCTGGAACAAAACCCGTGCTGCAATTACAAGTGACCATGAAAAGAAAGAGAATCTGCTTTTACGAATTAGGACAGATTTCGACAGACAGACACCACAAATCGAAAAAGTTCTTAAGAAGCTTCCTCTCTGGTGTTCTCTCTTTGGAAAGTCTACGTCTCCCCACACATTAGCTTTCTTGAGTAGTCTACCAGTTGATTTCTAGGTATCCAGAACTCAACAGCAAGAATCTTTTGATTGGATGCCAGTTCACATTTCTGTCCAGACTTGTTCAAGTATTGTGTACCAAACATGCACTTTATACACACCCCTGTTGGTTTTACTATAATTGAGAAATGGTTTGAAGATAAGCAAGTTTTTATTTATGAAGAATATTGGTTAGGATTTTAGTGTGTTTTCTTGGATCAGCTAAAAGTAGGGATAGAAATGATTATGTTCATTTGACATATTTATAATTTTCATGGATATTACTTCAATGAAAAGTTCTTTTTTAATTATTCTTTATAATTTCTAAATGAGTTTTACTTCTAAATGTGATGATCAAATCCCAAATTTCTTCTTATTAAACCCATTTAACTTGACAGACAAGATTCCTAGCGCTCTGCGTTGGCTGGAACTTCCTTTATTTATAATTTCAAGAAAGATAACTCCCACTATTCTTAAAAATGTCAATATTAAATGGTTATTGTAAATGGTTCTGGGATTTAGTTACTGTATTTTATAATGCCTATCCCTGGTAGTCACTAATTTATAGTGATGTTGATTCAGTACGAGGAGTGATATACTGGTTTCGTTGTAGATATTAATTGTCCAACTAGAGAGTGTTTATTATGAATAACATATTTTTATTTGAAGAATATGTATTTTATTTAATCTAGTCACGTACATTCTGTTATGTAGCTGGAGTTATTATTATTATTATTATTATTATTTTGGCCATAACGTTGATTTTCTTTTGCTCATCTGAGGATCATAATCATCCAAGTGTTGTAATTTGTGCAACGTCATTATTAGGTTCAAAAGATGTTATGTTTTTAATCGAAATAATTTTCTTTTTCAAAGTTAAATTATCATCATCAAGAAAATGCTACAAAATAAACGCACCGATTACCATCTAGAGAGGGAGTCGAATGTAATATTTAGTTTAGGTGATGGCTTGTGGATTGTCAAAGAACAACTCGTATGAAATTATGACAACTCGGCTCGAGTGAGAGCCACACAAGCTAAGCCGATGAGCGGCTTGCACCCATTGCTAGCACCGCCCAGTCCCATATGGGTTGAGAATTCCCCGATTAGTTAGGAAATTAGGATGGTGAGGCTTACCCGATTGTCATCCCTTCTACTATAAATCAAAAGATAAAAACAGGCATTGAAGTAATAGCCTAGTTTTTTTTATCCCTTGCACCCATTGCTAGCACCGCCCAGTTCCATATGGGTTGAGAATTCCCCGATTAGTTAGGAAATTAGGATGGTGAGGCTTACCCGATTGTCATCCCTTCTACTATAAATCAAAAGATAAAAACAGGCATTGAAGTAATAGCCTAGTTTTTTTTATCCCTATCTCCAACAGTAGCATAAATCTTAAAGTAGTGTGAACATATAAATATCACTAGTCAGTTATCTTTGGCTTGCAATTTACTTTTGTATCCCAACGTAAGATACAAATGGCAAGACAGAAAAAATCTCTAACATTCACTTTTCATCCCAATCTTCATTTCTTGATACTGGCATTTCATAGAAATGCAGACCGTTCCATCAGTAAGCAGCTTCAGCATCGGTCTATCTCCCCATTTCAAGAATCTGAAGAATCCCTTTCCTTCATTCTCGAAAATTTCTTCCTCTTCCTGTTCCCCTCCCCACGGATCAGGTATGAAAATTCATCTCTTTCTCTCTTTTAGTGTGGACGAGCAAATCCACTAGTGTAAAAGTTTAGCTCGCCCGAAGATAGATTCATATTTCTTTCAAAAGGCTGACACGGGCACAACTTTCATAAACTAGCGACTCCATGACTTTATGTCTGGACATTTACGTGAAATTTCCTCTTAACTAAATTATCCAAAAGTTTAAGCATTATATCCAAAAGTTTAAGCTTTAAAAGACAAACTTATTTATTTAAAAAAATTATACTTTCAATACTAGGGAACCACAACCTTACTGTGCGAATTTAACTGATTTTCCATGGTGTCCCAAGACACTCGAGGACAAGTGGCAGTAGTTGGGCATTTCCTTATATATTATTGGGGTGCAAGGCAACCAAATGTGTACTAGAAATATAGGAAGTGACATGACTACTACGTTAGTTTGTTCGATAATATGGGCTCTATATTTTTTTTTCGGTAAATGTAAATATCATTGATAAAAAATGTTCATATACAAGTAAACCGAGCATACCTAGACAAAACAAAAACCAATATCACATACAATTACTCTGAGCATATCCGGGAGATACAACAAAAGTGAAGTGCAAAAATAGTCAATGATCCAACGTTAAGGACTCGAAATAGATCAAGACATTTGGATACAAATAGAACATAACTTTGTATACGCGTGTCTTGATCCTTTTCACAATGGAATCCAAGTTGGATGAAAGACCTTCAAAAATCTTCCTATTACGTGTCAACCAAAGGTAGTAAACGGTACTAGCAAGTGTAATTCTCTTAGCCTTGTTTCGCCATGATGTCCCTCGAGCCTCTTTTTTCATCCACTTGAGAGAGCTAGCAAGTGTTGACATAGATCTTTTGATGTCAAGCCAATGTCTAATATTCCCCTATACGGTGGAAGTGAAAGAACATTCAAAGAAAAGGTGACAGCCCGTCTCCGCCTTTTGCCCACAAAGAATACAATTTCGATCAATATCCAAGTAATGCAATTTGTCTTTATTTAGGAGTTTTGATAGGACCCCTGACCAAAGCACAAAGGAGTGCTTCGGAGTGATGAAAGAGCTCCAAACATCAGCGGCCCAAACCTTCTTTGAGCCTCTCGGCCTGAAGAAGTCATAGGCGAATTTTGTGCAAAATTTTCCTCCAGTCGACCAGCTTTGTAATCTGTCCATAACTGTCTGATTTCGGACAGTGTTAACTCCAGTCGGCCTGCTTAAACAGTCACTGCTTTGTGGCATAACAGCAGCCTGCCTTGGGGGAAGTCCAGCATACATAGATGGATAGTTTACTCTACCCAGTTGTGCGTATTGCACGTTCTGTCCATGCGAGAAAATCTGGCAGCCACATTCTGTGTCAATATATTTCTGATTTCCAGCAATTTTTTAAAGAGTGGGGAATGATCTTTCCTAGGTAGAACTTCCCAAATGCAAGTCCCTTTAAGACACACTTGATGAACCCACCGAATCCAAAGAGTGTCCTTTTTATTTTGTATATTCCAAAGGGATTTAGCGAGTAACGCTAAATTCCAACTCTTTAAGTCTTTCAATCCGAGGCCCCCTTCATCTTTTGGAAGGCAAAGATCCTTCCACGCAACCAAAGGCTTCTTAGATCCCCAAAGGAATTTCCGACAAAGGCTAACAATCCTTGATATAATTGTAGCCGGGATAGGGAAGATAGAAAGCTAAAACATTCAACACCTTGAAGAACCGCCCGCCTTGCCCGCATAAGATAATGAAGAGCAATTCCATGCACCAATATAAGCTATAATTTTATCAAGAAATGGAGCATAACAACTTACCTTAAGTTTTTCCGAAGCAAGAGGAATGCCCAAATATCGAAATGACATACTACCCCTTGGGACATTTGTCAATTGAAAGATATCCTCAAGCACTTGTCCGTGAATACCAGCTATATGTAAGCTGGATTTAAGGATGTTCAACCTTAAACCCATACAAATCCAAAATTGGAGAGGCAATCTATGAGAATTTTCACTGACATAACATCTTCCCTAGCAAAGAGCATCAAATCGTCCGCAAAAGCTAAATTGGTGATCTTTAGGGGGCCACATTTAGGGTGATAATTGAAATCACTATCGTTCGTGGCAGCTCTAAGCATTCTTGAGAAATAGTCAATACAAAGCATGAACAAAAAGGGGGAGAGAAGATCACCTTGTCGGAGGCCTTTCCCTCCTTTGAAAAAACTATGCATACTCCCATTCAAAACAATGAAATATGTTGGAGAAGTAACACATTCCATGACCCAATTTACAAATCTCGAGAGGAAGTGCAACCCTTCAAGAACATCTTTAAGGAAATCCCAACTTATCGAATCATAAGCTTTTGTAAGATCAATTTTTAGGAGACATCTCAAAGCAACCCTTTTCCTATTGTATTGTCTCATGAGTTCTTAGGCAAGATGAATGTTTTCCGTGATACTTCTACCTTCAACAAAAGCGGCTTGTGCATGGTCCACAATATTACCCAAAATAGGTCTCAATCTAGAAGCAAGTATTTTAGCGATCACTTTCTAAATAACATTACAACAAGAGATAGGCCTATAATCCCCAACATGCGGTGTATGACCAGATTTAGGCACCAAAGCAATGACCGTGTGGTTGATTTGTTTGAGGATGGAACCCGACGAAAAGAACTCCATGATAGCCCCAACAAAATTTTCACCAATAGTCCCCCATGCATTTTTAAAAAAAACAAGAAGTATAACCATCTGCCCGGGAGACTTTTCATCTCCAATCACAAAGAGTGTCTCTTTGATCTCCTCATAAGAAATGTCCCAAATCAAGGTGTTACCTTGTTCCAATGAAACCAAAGGACCACTTGTAACAATATCCAGCTCAAGAGGCCGAGTTGGATAGTTTTTCCCCAGCAATGTAGTGTAAAATTTGACAAATTTCGAAGCAACTTGATCATGTGATGTAGTATACATCCCATCCTCTTTGAGTATAGTAGCTATAAAGTTTCTCCTTGAGTTCCTTTTAACTACTGAGTGAAAGAACTTAGTACATTTATTACTTTGCTTAAGGAAAATGCACTTAGCTTTTTGATAGTAAAAACTACGTTCCGCTTCACATAACCCGACGACTTTCTTTCTCAATTTAGTGACCATAAGTTGAAAATGTTCATTCATGGGCTGATTATGAAGCTGTAATATGAGCTCTATGTTACTTGACAGTAAAAATTTAAAAGAAGTTAAAAATCTTGCTGCCTCATGTATAAATCTGTGTTACTCATCATTGCTCTTGTGATCGAGATTGAATTTTAATCCCTAACAGCTGCTTCACCTATGTTCCTGAACTACAAAACAATAAGGGTATTTGACAATTCTGATGTTTAATTAAACATATACTATTTTCTTGTTACTATTCCATCACATTTTCATTCTTTGATGTTGTAAAAGATCGTTGTTAGTCATAATATTAGCCTTCGGGGATTATTGAAGTCTAACTAGAGGATCTTTGCGTGCTCTAGTGTTTTGTAGGGCTAGTCAAGTGGCCGACTTGTTTCCAACCGTGTCTCCCGAAATTGTTGTTCGAGAGGCGAGGTCAGAGGACTGCTGGGAAGTGGCTGAGACTCACTGCAGTTCCTTCTTCCCTAAATTTCGGTTTCCTTATGATTATTTGTTGAGAATTAATCGAGCCATTGGAATGTTATTTGGATACTCGATGCCAAATGGCTGCAACAGAACTTGCCTTGTTGCTGTAATTGGAAGTTCTGATCAAGATGCATCCTTTTCAGTGAATGATGACTTCAAAATTGGAGTTTTTGATGGAATGTTTAGTCTAAACAGGGGATATGTAGCCGGGATATTGACCGTGGATACTATCGCTGATTTTCTTCCACGAAAAGGTCCCCTGCAGCAGAGAAGGTACGAAGTATTAGCTTCTCCTGTGTTGAATTCTTATCTTATTCAAGAATTTATTGAAGCATTGTCTCAGCTCTTACTCATTACTAGAAATTACAAATGGTATCGTTGTGGACAGGACAGGAATTGCGTATATATCAAATGTTGCTGTCCGAGAAAGATACCGTAGAATGGGAATTGCGAAAAGACTGATAGCTAAAGCAGAGGCAACAGCCAAAAGCTGGGGGTGCCATGCCATTGCATTACACAGTGACCTTAACGATCCCGGTGTCACAGAGTTGTATAAAGGGCAGGGGTTTAAGTGCATTAAGGTGCCAGAAGGAGCGAATTGGCCCCAGCCGAGAAGTTCACGCATTGTCCAGTTCAACTTCATGATGAAGCGCCTGAATCCACCCATCAAGTCTCAGATTGCATAAAACAACTACATTTCAACTTGAGACAACTATGAAATTCTCAGCCTGATACGAACATCTTTGAGAATCCGACGACTGGTTTACGTGCCCTATTCCTAGTTACCAAGAAACTCTCTACTGCAGTGCTCCTATAATGGCCAAGTTGGTTAGACCAATGACAAGCCCTCTTGGGTCGGATGAATATAGCTTGTAAATGAAAGAAGGGTAAAAATTCTTGTGTTTGTGTCTCTCTGTGTAAATAGATAAGTTGCAACTTGTGGAATACAAGTATTGTGGCAGTTGATGTTAAATATGATCAATTAGTCCAAACATTATATTGGATAGCTGGACACTACAGTGACCAAAATTTTAGCTTATTTTCTTTGTTAACCGTTGAGTAAACAAGTATTATATAATGTACCTTGCTCATCGGGTTCATGTTTTTCCAGCTGCTTGCCACAAGATATATTAGATCTTTTATATTCGCCTCATCTTTATCAAGCTTCTTTGTCTTTATCTTCCAAAAAATCAAATGGTGTTGTGTTCGAATCCCATTTTAACTAAGGATTCTTGTGGTTCCAGCTACAGGAGATCCAGGAATGGAGAGCTTCCCCCCCCCCCCCCCC